TCTCTTCACCCACCAGCCGGTGGCCCCTGCTGTCTCTGCTTTGTCATCCTGCTTCTTGTTCATCAGCTTCCACGTGTCAAGAGAAGCCTGATGTGAACTGGACCAGCCTTACCTATTTCTCCAACAGTGTAAACCATTTCTTGGTATAAACCTCTTTCTATACAACATGGAAAAGCGACACTCGTTTTGCTTCTCTGGAGAACCCAACCCACGCACTTGGGAAGGCTACATGATTGAGGGTCTCTGTAATTTGGATAAACATTCTAACACTCAAGGGTGTTTCAAAGACTTTGTGGGACAATGAAAGGAAAAGGTAACAGAATTTTCCCAACAACTTTTTGAAGCCTTCTTCTATATACCTATGCTGGGCATCAGGATTCATTCTGCAGTTGTTCAAGAAAAAGACTAACTTTCACCATCTTTTCCAGTGCTTAGATCTAAGTCTTGCCAAGGCCCAATACTCCTCACTCTCATAATAAACACCCTGTCCTCCATGCCAAATAGTTGGTCACCAAGTAGCCCTTTCTATCTCCTGGAAGGCACCAGACCTTTCATCTTTAATGCCAAAGCCAGATTTTCAGAGCCTAAGAGTTCTGGCTCAGGGCAAAATGGGAAGGTTACTTTCTGGATAGAAGAGTAAAAAATCCTTTCCAATAAGAGCCTACACAGAATATAAGACTTGTTGTTGAAGCAGACCAATCTAGACTATTTCACAAAGAAAAACGCAAACTTACCTCGGCCTCTAGAGCAGCTCCAGATCCGAATAGTCTGATCTTTGCTTCCCGTGGCTAAGTAACAGCCTTTTGTTACTGGAGGTTGTGGCATAACTCTCCCATTGGGAAGTTCAGGTTCTTCTAGAGAGATGGTAATTCTGTTTTAGGTTTGCATCAAATATGTTCTTATCAAGGAAAAGTTAGTTCACAAGGGCTCCTAAAGCTGTCTTCTTCCTAATTCTGATCTATGAAACCTTACATGTTAAAAATTTACATGATACAATTCTACCCCTTCTGCATGGAAGGTGACGAGTCTCTCACTACATCACTACTGACTCATTCTAATTATCGAGAGAAGAATTTTATCAGGAAGACCTAGGTCTGTTTCTCTGAGCCCTCCCTTAAGCCACTGGTACCTGAAGCGTCCTCTTGGTTGCTGGATAGGCAGTCTTCACCTGGCAGGGGGCACCAGGCGATGGAGTGGATCTCATCTTCGTGGCCTCGCAGTCTATGGACAACTTCTCCTTTCTTACTGATGTCAATTATAACCACCATGCCATCCTTGTAACTAGAAAACACGCGTCGGGGACATGACTAAAACAGGAAGAAGCACAGCCTCTCAAGCAGCTATTTTGGCTTAGGAGCTTACCATTGTGGGGTTCCAACAGCTCGGAGCATTTGAGGGAGGGAAGAAAAGTAATTTTTTTTATCCTTCTTCCAACGTGTCCACCTGTCTTGGATTTGTGAAACCCGTTACCCCTCAAGAACAAACTGTTGGCACCAAGTAACACTGTGCAATGTTGCGTGGCACGAAGTTCAAACAGTATGGCCTGCAGTCTGCCTCTGCTGCAGGACCGCAGGTACACACACA